GATGGACTTGGTCTAGAGTATGATGCGGTAGTTGTAAACCTTACTTCAAGAATTGAGTCAAAACTTGACTTTGTCACTTTATAAGAAGCGAAATTCTTATTGCAAAAACATGAGGTTCGACTTGAGAAGTTTAACTCACTGGAGTTCTAAAATTGTTCAGCTAAAATAGCCATGACCAATCAACAAGTGTCCTATAGAAAACATGAGAATGTTAATGGTCCTTCTCTGTGTACATTACACACTCAAACTCCCCACTCTTCATATCTAGTGCCCGTGAATTTATCCAATCAATTTCAGTTGCCTAATTCACAATATGAAGCACCTTGGAACAACTATAGGCCTCCAATGGTTAATAATTTTGGAAGAGGCCAAGGCAGATTCAATAGCCGAGGGAGACCAATCTGCCAAGTGTGTGGCAAGCCCAGAAGCACTATCACCGGTATGACTCTTCTTATACTTGTGGATTTCAATCTGGAAATGGCTTTCAATTTGGAAGTTTTCAATCTGGAAATTTTCAGTCTTCACCACAACCTTATACTGGTGGATTTCAACCTAGAAATGGATTTCAAACTGGAGGTTTTTAGTCCTCACCATAGTTCACTAATCGTTGTCTTCAACAAAGCATGTCTAATATGATTTTTTAGCCAAATCAATAGTTTACAAAGTCTTCAATTGTTTCTGGAGCAGTACCTTCAAGTGCTGGTCAAGCCTTTCACTCAGTAAATCCATCTTCAGCCATGCCATCTTCCTATATAGAAAAATCTGCTTACATTGGTCTATCAAGTCAACAACTGTTTGCTGGTCCTGGTCCTCAAGCAAATATTGCTCTGCATCCATAATAGTTTGCTCCTTTATCCTTTGCAAATCCAACTACTCCTGCTAACCTAATTTGGTACATGGATTCAGGAGAAACGAATCACATCACACTTGATCCTGTACAGTTGAATGTCAGCAAAAATTATGAAGGGTCAGATCAATTACAAGTAGGAAATGGTGAGTTGTTGCACATCTCTCACATTGATAACTCCTCTTTACCTAGTCCTTTACAATCTAAATGCCTATACCTGAAAAAATATCCTTTGTGTTCCAAAAATTACAAAAAAATTATTAAGCATTTCAAAATTTACAAAGGATAACAATGTAGTTTTGGAGTTTAATTCTAGCTACTGTGTTGTGAAGGACAATAATACCAGGACAGTTCTACTATAAGGAGACCTTAAAGCCAGGCTTTACCAGCTGGTGATACCTCCAAATATGTCAATTCCAACCCTCACTTCCTTAGCAAACCACCTGTCAAGTACACATTCTGGAAATGTTGTACTGTCTCATACTCCTGTCTCTCAAAATTTAGTGAACAATGTCTTTCAAAGTCCAATGAATAGTGTCTTTAGGTCATCATTAGAGTTGAGTCCTAGAAATAATTCTAGCAATTTTAGTATTGATAATGGTTCTCCTAGTTGTCATGTTTTAGGTGATCACTGTGATCAAGATACAACTACTTGTTATGATAATGTTCATGTTTCGAATATTGTTCATGTTTCAAGTGATCAAGATGATCACTTTCCAATTGACTGTATATCACATTTTAGTAATAAAAATAAAGACATTTCAAGTGTTTCTTATGCTAAAAATGTTCAAAGTTCAATGATATTGATTGTGTTGCTGATTGTGTTTTAAACATATCCAATTGCACTCATAAAAATGCAAGTTGTGTAACTAATGCTGATAATTCAAATGTTCTTTTTACTAAAACTATTCAGAATACAAGTGATATTGACTATGATGTTGATTGTGTTCAAAATGCATTCAATTGCACTCATAATAGAATAACTTCATATTGTAAGCCTGATAAACCTGCACACGTTTATCACTCTACATGTCTGATTCTATTTCTGTTGCAATTCAGCCTAATCTTAGTACTGATTCTGAAAGTTTACTTGTTTCTGATTCATATCAAATTGAACAACACAATAACAATTCACGACCTTATCATGTGCATATGACTAAATCATTATCTGCTTGCGCTTTGACAGTAAACAACCACTCTAGTTCCTTAATGTGGCATCAAAGATTAAGACACCCTCATATTAGAGCATATCAACGTATCATGAGTACTTTACCAAGTAAATTTCATTTAAAACCTATTGAATTCTGTCATGCATGCCAACCAGGAAAAATGCACCAAACTAATTTTCCAAGATCATCTTCTAGAGCAACTTTACCTCTTGAACTCATTCATAGTGACTTATGGGGCCCTGTGCCAATTCCTTCTACCGAAGGATTTAGATATTATGTCCAATTTCTAGACGATTTTAGTCGATTCACTTGGCTCTTTCCTCTTAGGACCAAAGCTGAAGTTAGGTCTGTTTTCAAAAAATTCACCACTTGGCCGAAAGACAATTTGGTTACAAACTAAAATGTATCCAATTTGATCAAGGAGGTGAGATTAAGAGCTTAATTCTTTACTTAACTAGTGAAGGGATTCAATTTAGGCATTCTTGTTCCTATGTTCACCAATAAAATGGAAGGAGTGCGAGAAAACATAGGCATATAATGGAGACCGGTTTAACTTTGTTGGCTCATGCATTAATGCCATTGCATATTTGGTGGCTTGCCTTTGTCACTGCAATTTATTTGATTAATAGGATGCCTACAAAAGTTTTACAATATGCATCACCTTATCAAGTGTTGTTTAAGTTTTCACTTTCTTATGAGACCTTGAAAGTGTTTGGTTGTGCATGTTTTCCATTTTTGCATGTTGTAACATCCACTTTAAGGATCATTTGTTTTTAAATTTTAAGTTAAATGGACATGTTATTTAAGTTATTAGAATGGTCTAGATGCCCTGATTTTGGTGAAGTCTTGCAAAATTTTGGAAATGCAGACTTCGCCGCGGCGAAGAAGAAGAGTCACCGCGGCGATGTATGCCCTACATTTCTTCGCCGGGGCGAAGAAAGAAACTTCGCCGGGGGCAAAGGACTGGTAGATTTTTCTAGTGAAGTTTCAAGAAAATTTTCCATAAGGGTAAAGTGACCATTCTACCCCTAATTAGAAAGCAAAGTGGGGAGTGAATTACAAGGAAATTTCATGGAGAATGTTTTAGAATGGGGGTGCAAGTGTAAAGAATTAAAGGATAAGGATGGAACTTCAAGAAAGTGGAAGGGTAAAATGGGAAAGAAGCCTTAATTTATGAGATATTAAGGGTTAGACTTCTAAATCCCTTCATTTTCCTCATTCCACCGCCTCTTCCATTCTCCTTTTCCTCTCAATTCTTCACTTCTTCTTCTAAGGATTTGTGAGGGTTTTTGGTTGGAATTTGTTGAGGAATTGATCCTAAGCAATAAGAGGTAAGAATCCCTACTCTAGATATGAGTTTTATTTATGTAAGGGTTAAGTTCTTACTAAGTTTATGCTTAGGAATTAAGAGAAGAAGCAAGTCCAACAAGCTAGAGAGCTTTTGTCGAAGAATTCAAGAAAAATGTAAGTAAATCCAACCCAAGTTAAGATTTAAGCAATCAAATGACTTGATGTGTATTTATATGACTTGATTTGTATTTATATACTTATAATTGTGAGGTTGATTGCTAAGTTTGTAATTGTGGATGAGTTGTTGGGTTGAAGAATGGTTGTTTTGAGCCATGAGAAGTAGAGTCAAGGTTGGGATGGCCAATGGAAGTTTGGCCAAATTTGAGAAGAAATTGAGTAGAGATTTTTGAAGTGATTTCCCTTGACAGGTTTAGAATTATTATGGAGGAGTTTTACTCCATATATGGATGGTCTAGGAAAGAAATAGAACTATAGTTAAAGTAGAATCTAATTATGCATGCTTATTGTTTGATAAAATGCTTGAGAGAAGCATATGCATGAGTAGAGAACTTATTTTTGTGCAACATTGCATATTTGCATTATATGATTGCACTAAAGAAAGAAATATAAGCATATACCATCCACATGTATATCTTTGCATATGCATAAGTACGAAAGAATAAAGAATGCTAAGAATAAAGAGAAAGAAAGAAATAGCACTAAAGAATTTAAGAAAGAGAGTGCTAGAGAAAAAGGAAAGAATAGGTTGTTGTGATGGGGGAACTCGTGAGTGATAAGAAGAAAGTCCCACATACACGTCACCTTAATTGAGTGGCATAAGAAGAAGAAAGAAATCATACGACCCGTAAGAGTGTATGTGGATGAGGGTTGTACCAAGAATAAAGTCCTACATGCACGTCATCTTAATTGAGTGGCTTAAGAATAAGAAAGAATTTGTACAGTCTGTAAGAGTGCATATAGATGAGGACTGTACTCACTCACACAGCCAGAGTTTCGAATCCATGCATCAACCGAGTCCGATCGGCATAAGAATAAGAATGAGAAAGAATAAGCTAGACTAAGAATAATAATGAGAAAGAATAAGCTAGACTAAGAATAAGAATGAGAAAACTCAAGCATACAAGAAAAGAAAAGAAAAGAATAGCTTGAGTAAGAAAAGAAAAGAATAGAAAAGAAAGAAAGAAAATACATTACTATGCATTATTGTGAGTGCATTGCATTCATGCATTTTTACCATGATGTTCATCATGATGAGTAAGAATAGAAAGAATTAGAAGAAAGAAAAGAACAGAGAAAACTAGAAACAGAGAAAGAAAAGAAACAGAAATAATGAAGAAGAGTAAGATTAGAGTAAGGAAAGAACTAAGAATAAGATGCGAGGATAAGTAGTAGAGGATTTACTTACTGAGCCTTTTGCGCTCATCCTGTTGTTTTTCTATGTTTTGCAGGAAATAGGTAAGCGGCGGTCAGATGGACGTCACGGAACGGAGAGAAAAGGCACCATTGTCCCTTGTGTATAAGTTTTGTGTATACTACTTTTGTAAATATAAAGAATTATGTTTTATAAATAAAAGAAAAAAATTTTGGGCCCAATTATATTTCATATACTATGTATGTATGTGTTTGAGTATATTAGTAAGAAAAAGAAGGTGTTACACGTGTCTTTAACAAACACAAATTTAGCTTTCATTCCATGAAATATGTTTTTGTAGGGTATAGTTTGGTTTATAAAGGGTACAAATGTCTTAGTCCTAATGGTAGGATTTTTGTCATCCCAAGTGTAAAATTCAATGAAAGTGAGTTTCCTTTCTCTTCTGGTTTTTCCAACATTAGTTCAACCATTTTTCCTCCAATGAGTCTACTCATACCACACCTCAATTCTTTCCATTTGTGTCAACAAGTCATCCAAAATCCTCACATCACATAGCTGGTCTTGTCGGTTCTGTTACTCCCACAATGGTATGTTCTGTTAATGATTCTCCTTCACCAAGAGGTGAACATTTGAACTCTACTTCAGTTGCTAATCCTACAAATATCACTTCACCTCAATTAGCCACTTCTTCAGCTCAACAACAAAAATCACAGCCTATCAAACAACTGACACACTTATCTGGAACCATTATAGTAGATCTAACAGGCTACCAAACAGCCCATCAAACAGTTCCTCAAACATCAGCCTATCACAAATTTGCCCATAAAACTGAACAAAACACGGCTTCTACCTCCTCTTCATCTCTTCCTAAACACTCACGTTTATCACATCCCACACATCCAACACATTTACCTGGAAACCTTACAGTAGATTTAATAGCCTATCCACCATTTACCTCTACAACTTGTCCTGATAAACCAGTTACCACTGCATTATCATGTACTCTTGGTATTGATCTGACTTTTTCAGGTTTGCTGTCATTCCAAGTGCCTCAGATACCTCTGTAATATCCACTCATTGATTGCAAGGTCCAAGGCAGCTAAACTAAGTTCTCTACTACTTAAATCATCCATTCAACTTGCAGATGTTCAACCTATAGCTCTTATACTTACTGGTTTAGTGGATTCAAAAACCGGTTCTGTTCAGGAAGCTCTAAATAGCTTTGAGTAGAAATTAGCTATGCATAATGAATATGATGCTTTGATTACAAATAACACTTGGACACTTGTTCCCTTCTCACCCGAGATGAATGTTGTTGGCAACAAATGGGTCTACAGAGTAAAATACAATGCAGATGGCTCTTTACAAAAGTACAAGGCCAGGTTGGTAGCCAAAGGTTTTCAACAAACCCTTGGCTTAGATTACCTTAACACATTTAGTCCAGTAATTAAACCTTTAACAATCAAGAATATTCTTACCTTGGCTGTCACTTATAATTGGGATGTTCAACAAATTGATGTGAACAATTCTTTCCTCAATGGCACTCTTAATGAGGTGGTGTATATGGTGTAATCTTGTGGATTTGAAGATCCCACAAAATCACAATATGTCTGCAAGCTGAACAAGGCTCTTTATGGGCTAAAACAAGCACCTAGAGCCTGGTTTGACAGACTAGCAAGTTTTACTAGATAAGGGTTTTACAAATTCAGTATTGGATTCCAGTTTACTCATTCTTCATCAAGATACACAAGTAACTTATGTGTTAGTTTATGTTGATGACATTTTACTAACCGAATCTGATATGACATATGTGAATACACTAGTGTAGGAACTTAATGACCAATTTGCTCTAAAAGCACTTGGCTCTGTCAAATATTTTCTTGTTCTTGAAGCTGCAAGAATAGCCACTGAAATTCATCCGAGGCAAACAAAATATGCCACAGATTGCTACAAAAAACAAAAATGATTGAAGCTCACTCATGTCCCACTCCTATGACTATAAGCTCAAAACTATTTCCAAGGGATAGTGAACTGTTCTCCAATCCTAGTCTATACAGAAGTACAATGAGGGCCCTACAATATCTTACCTTAACAAGACTTGATCTTAGCTATACTGAATAAACTAAGCCAATTTCTTCAGTCACCCACTAACCTCCAATTGGCAAGCTTGTAAAAAGGTCTTGAGGTACATCCAAGGTACAAAGGATCATGGACTTAAGTTCACACCAGCTGCTTCCTTGGAAATTAAGTGTTATGCTGATGCCGATTGGGAAAGTAACATCGAGGAAAGACTATCTACTAGTGGGTATTGTGTATTCTTAGGCCCAAACTTAATTCAATAGAGCTCTAGAAAATAAAAAGTTGTAGCTCTCTCTTCCACTGAAGCTGAGTATAGGGCATTAGCATATACAACCATTGAAATTACTTGGCTCAACAGTATGTTCACTAAGTGAGGAATGTCTTTTATTAAAACCCTGATAATATGGTGTGATAATGTGACTGCAAGAGCCTTAGCTTCTAATCCTGTATTCCATGCTAGAACCAAACATATAGAAATAGACACTCATTACATCAGAGAACAAGTTCCAGCCTATAAAATTGCTGTACAATATGCACTTTCAAAGTTGCAGATTGCAGATATTTTGACCAAGGCTCTACCTGCTGCTCAATTTGAAGAATTAAAAAGGAAGTTAACTATTGTCCCTTATCGTACTTGATTAATGTAGCTTTACTTGCTGTCGATTGACTGTGCTCTTACTTGCTGAAAATAGAGTGTGACATAGATTCAGTATGTTGAAACATGGTTGTAATTACTTGTTGCAAGATTGATTGTGATGGTGGAAGTTGATAATTGAATCTGTTGCAGCTTATAAGGTATGTTACAATGTGATGATGCAGGTTTGTTGCAGTGTGATGGTGGAAGATGATAATTGAATATGATGTAGTTTATGAGATATGTTGCAGTGTGATGATGGAAGTTGGTAATTGAGTCTGTTGCAGTTTATGAGATACGTTGCAGTATAATGGTGGAAGTTGGTAATTAAGTATGCTGCAGTTTATGAGGAATGTTACAGTCTCTTCAGTAGCAGACTTGATTAACTTCAGTTGTTAAAAAAAAAAAAAAAAAAAAAAAAAAAAAAAAAGAAGAAGAAGAAGAAGAAGAAGAAAAGTGTAGGGCATTCTAGCTTGAGGGAGGCGGTTGGATAGAAAACTCAAAACGACATCATTGAACAATAATAGTTGAAAATGGTAGTGTTCTGTTTTTCAACAACTTAAGCTCAACTGCTCCACTTACTTGTTATTGTTCTTCTTCTTAAAATTATCAATATAAATTTTAAATAGCGTGTAAAACTCAGTTTTAACAAATCAGATAGAAAAATTCTCGATTGTTCTCTGTTCTTCTAAACCATTTCTCTTCAGTTCTCTCAAATTGGGGAGGAGAATTCCGCAGCTTTATTCCTTACTTAAACTCCCATGGCATTAAATTTCGGCATCCATGTCCTCATATTGACCAGCAGAATGGGAAAGTTGAAAGGAAGCACCGTCACATCATAGAAATTGGTTTAACTTTGTTGGCTCAATCCTTTATGCTCTTTCAATTCTAGTGGCATGCATTTCACACTGCTATTTACTTAATAAATTGTCTGCCAACTCCAGTACTTCAGTATGTGTCCCTTTTTGAGAAATTATTTCATAAAGCACTCGATTACAATTTGTTGAAAGTATTTGGTTGGAGGTGCTTACCCTATTTAAAGCCATATAACTCACGTAAACTAGACTATCACACTAAGCCATGTATCTTTATTGGATATAGTGCTTCTCATAAGGGTTATTTGTGTTTAAGTGAGACAGGAAGAGTATATATTTCTAGACATGTTGATTTTGATGAAACAAATTTTCTAGCCAAGGAACTGCAGAACAACAATTCCAGCTCATCGCAACAGCCAAGAGAACCAATAATATACTATTCCAATTGGTAGATTCCATGTGCTTTACCTACTGATACTTTTTCTACTGAATCCTCTTATGACATTTTAGGTGTAGTAGTCAATAATTCAGAAACATCACAAAAGGGTCATTCTAAAAATCAATCAGAGAATCACCTCATGAATGAATCTCCAATACCAGCTTCGAATCAATCTTAGAAAGTAGCAAGTGCAGGTACCTTACCTGCCTTGGGTGATGCTACAGTGTCATCAAAAAGTCAGTCTGAAGACCAATCTTAGGGAATGTACAAAGTAATACAAGATGGCACTTCAATTCCTACTCTTCACTTGGAAGTTCAGTTGCCCTTAGACAAAATTCCATCAGTTTCATAGTCAGCAGCTGCTAATACTCATCCTATGGTCACCAGGTCTAAAACACTACTTAAGAGCAAGATAGATGCTACAGATGCTCTAATTGTAACTACCTCTGTCAGTAAACCTTCTACTGTCAGTGAACCTTCCAATATTCATGAAGCACTAAATTCTCCAAATTGGTTTTCAACCATGAAGAAGGAATATGATGCCCAGCAAGACAAAAACACCTGGACATTAGTCCCTTATGATAATCAAATGACATTAGTGGACAACAAGTGGGTGTTTTGCATTAAATATAACATGGATGGAAGCATTCAGAGGTATAAAGCTAGATTAGTTGCAAAAGGATCTCAGCAAACTCCTGGAGTCAATTACTTTGAAACTTTTACTCCAACAGTAGAGCCTTGCACTATTCGAATCATTCTATCTCTAGCTGTCCAATTCAAATAGAAAATCAAGCAAACAGAGATCAACAATGCCTTCTTGAATGATGATCTTATAGAGGTGGTTTACATGACACAACCGGCTGGATTTATTGACACTAACAAACCTGCTCATGTGTGTAAGTTAAATAAGGCTCTTTATGGCCTTAAACATGCTCCTCGGGCATGGTTTGAAAAGTGATAAGAGTGTAATTTATATATTTTTATTCCTTCCATATTATGTTTTTTGTTATGTGTTATGCCTAGTTGAGTTGATTAGAGTTTATTTTATAAGTTTGGTATATTTGGATAGACTTTATGAAATAATTGAGGTTAGGAAATTCCAGAATTTTGTTATTCTGACCAGTGCTGTGTTTTTCAGGTTTTTCATGGAGTCACATTTCTCAATTGCAAAAGTGTTCTTCAGAAAAAAGTAAAGTAGACAAATCAAGCTTTCCAGGAAGGTATTATGGACGAGAATCTGAGTACGTTTGGGTCCTCATTAGTTGTTGCAAAGTCGGACCTGGAATCCTACTCGCAGAAAGATTCCTGGCTGAGTGTTGAGTCTTTGAATGGGCCTAACTGGAG